TCGGGAAATAGCGGCGCGCAGTGGGCAGGTAGCTTCGGGATTTTAGGTGTGGGTGTACTGGTGGTTTAAACTGACAACATTGAACTGGACTGACACCAGATCTGACACGACAGACCGGGACAGGACTGACAAACAGAACAGGAACCGCAAATACATCCTGTGCGCAGGCTCAAGACCCACGGTCAACTGCAGGCCGAAGTCAGAGGGAACAGTCAAACCATTGACGACCTACTGACGACAAGCAGACTGACAAACACAAGCTGACTTCAAGACGGATTACAGACTGACAGACCTGACAGACTCGTTCTGATTGAATGACGGACTGACGTTAGAGGGACAGGTCGCCGGAACTCACTCGATCAAGGTCTTGATTGGAGAGACTGTCGCCGGTCAACTCTGACCGAAATACAGGGACCTGGCTGACTTACTGTTGGTCGGCGTCTAAACTGAATCCTCACTGAAGTTCCAATCAATCTCCGCAAACGAATTGCCGACGATTTTCCATAAATTGGTATTCCCTAGAGGGTCTGCAAAACCAGTGGACGGCCAAGCAGGCTGAGCCTGCCACTTTGAGGGTTGCCGTAACCCTCAGGTCACCGGTAGACTAATTAGGATTGACGTCCTAATTGGTGTCGGGGCCAACTCAACCGGGTGACGCACCAATCAAGCAGCAACTATCACTGTCATCGATGTTGAAGATAACGGGCACCGCCCCAAACCGCGAACCGCCGGCCAGATAGTTGATGGCCAACAAATTAGTCTCGTAGATGACGCCGATACCAACTGTTATGTGCCTGATTGAAATGACGAGATACAGCATGGCATCCACATGTTCCCATACACATGCGCAACGACAAGATATCTTGGAGAGAGCAATTCACACCACACTGGATGAGCGAATACATAGTGGAATCACTTAAACCAAAAATAGAATTGAAATTACTCAATTCTCATCAATATCCCGCTCCCTCCAGCCAATCAATGCTCCATTATTTCCAAGAATCCCAACCATGTTATTAACATCCACAAACCAACTAAGAAGAGAGCTTCAACAAGTAAGGGAGACTTCTTCTTCCTCCCGACCTCAAGCTCACAGCTATGGCGCAAGCATGCGCCCAACCTATCAAGCCCATCAAGCGCCACCAACCCTCCTGAACCTGACACGCTACTCAGCAGTCCAAACTCGATGCCCACTGCAGATGAAGTGTCCGCTCAACAGGGCAGGGTAGCTCCCAAGGACGAAGAAGAAGAGGACCAGCGCTTGATGAAGAAGGAGATGGCTGCCACTTTGACAAACACTTGCAAGAAGGGTTTCAATGGCGACCCTTCCTATCCCCAAGTGCACAGGTGAGATGAGGCGCCTCACAGCGCTCAGGGCCTGATGCCCAGCGCAGTCACAACACGAGCCAGGAAGCCACAGCTATGGAGGACAGCCCTAGCAGGATGAAGATGATGCCGCAAGTGAAATAACGCAGCACCCAAACAGCACGTGACCTCCAGCAGCACTTCGTGGAAAACACATGACGAGACAGAACCCGTTTTCCCTTGCCCTTGACACTTTTGCAGACTGCTGTTTCCCTGACTCCACAGCCTACAGCCTAGGAACAACAGCCTATAGCCTAGGACCCAATCTAGACCTAAAATTGGCAAAAGGGGAGGACAGAAACCACAAAGGACAAAGCACAGAGACCTAGTGGTATTACAGCTAGCTTACAGAGACAACTCCAAACAGACCTAGGGATCAAGCCCAGTTGGGCTCTCACACAAAAAAAACACAGCAAACAAAACAGGTCACGGGATCGAATCTCGGAGAGCTCAAAACAAGGCAACATCAAACAAAGTTAGTGCGCAGCCCGCATGCCACTGCAATTATCCTTGGAGTAATTTGGAAAGTATTTCTTGACGCCTCTCTGGCTCTTGCTTGATTAACAGCTGCACTTTTCGCCAGTCTGCCTGGTATTCTGTATCCAAGCCTTGTTTGAGGTCTTCCCAGGCCTGCTCCAGTGACACCTCCTACTTGTCAATTGTTTCCTTGCATCTCCTTTTCCAGACAACCACAGTACTACCATCTTCACCCGAATAGAACTCCCGGTCATTATAGCGGTATCGGGACTGAAAATCATACCAAATACAGCTATAATGAACGGGCATTCTAAAAGGGTGAAGACTGTAGCGGGCACAGTCCTGTGGAATTTGAGGATCCATTTCTCCCGTGTCGTTGGTCAGACGAAACGTGATAGCAGGCCCAGCTGATCCTCTAACGGCGCCTGACCTGTAGTATCAACCCTCCTCAATTCTCCCCTCGTCACAGACTGCGCAACATTCATCAAAGTCTTGTCTATTCACCTGTGCTCTTCTCTTTGCCAGTCACTGGTTCATCGGAAGTGCTAAATAGACTAACAGCCACTGCATGCTTGGACCCTTGTGTTGCGAATTGCCAGCACGGATGCCCAGCGTATCTTGACCATAGCTGTCATTTGTCCGGGCAGGAGTCGATCACAGCGTTGAAGTAGGGAGTTCTGAGTATTTGCAGAACGCCTGCGCAGTCTATAGCCTAGTCATGTAGTGTAGTCAAGTATAGTTACTCATCGGTCCACGTGACCCGCCGTGGTGGGGAGTTTCCACGCCCATTCTGCCGGATCGAATTCGAGGTTCTGCAATGATGTGGATTGCTTGAATATCCTGAAGTCCTCGTCCTCCACCATGCAAAACTTTCAAAGATAGCGCAGCCTGACCACTCACTGCCTGTGTCCGGGCGGTTCTGTTTATCCTGCTGACCGTCAAACCCACTTCCTCTATGTCACGCAAGCCCATTGGCCCCCATTGGCTCGCAGGAACTGTCTGCCTGATGAAAGACAGGGTGACCGTTGGGGGTTCCTCCCAATCCCAGGTAGCCCAATCTCCGGTCCGCCAGGAAGGTGGTACTGTATTTTTTTCACTTCTTGCAGCTTCTTTTGCCTCTTGGTTGTTGTCTTTTCCATGCCTTGTGTCTTGCCTGCCCTCATGCCTCCCCCTTCCCCTCTAGCCTATGTGTTGCCTTGCCGCTTTTCCCTGCATGTGTCTTGTCTGTTGTTTCTTGTTTTCTCCCTGTTTTATGGGCCTGTTTGTCTGTTGTTTGCTCTTGTTTCACTCATGTACTTGTGCTGCTTCTGTTTACTGTTTTGTGCACTCAAGAGCTATGTGAGAAATGTCTTCGAGTCTTTGCACATGAGCATCTCCTTGGACAGCATTGATCGGAGTGCAACTATGTTGTACCCGGATAACTGTTATACGTGTTTTCACACACATCTACACACACACACACACACACATCTACACACACATCTACACACACACATCTACACACACACACACACACACACACACACACATCAACCTCCTGATGAGTCGCTGAAAGTCTGACGAAGCAGTCTGGCACAGTCATGCTTTTTTCGTGGAGTTGTGTATGGCGAACCTGGCAACACACACACAACCACACACAAACATGCACACACACACCCCCACCCCCCCCACATGCATACACACTGTAATATATCTCTGATCTCCCCCCCTTTCCTGCAACAACTGCACATGGCACGTGTCCCCCACCTTGTGCGTGCTCATGGTATACCAGCACACCATCCTGAACCGCATTGCTCCACCGCAAGTATACCACCCACTCCAGAATGCAATCACCGCACAGAGTAGAACTTAATGAATGGATAGATGGAGTGTGTAACTCATCATGATGTCCTTTTCCCCCAAACTGTGGCTACATGTTCAGCAGTGCTGACACATCCACCACCAACCAGGAAATCTCTGCCTTGACTGTGACAGCGAAGAACTCCACCGGCCAGAAAGAGAGGTGCAACAGCACAATCGGCAAGACCACCAACCCGACTGAACAAGTATGGGCGACGACGAAACTGTTCATGGAGACCGATATCCGGTGTCAATGGAAGAAGGTCAGATTCCAAGTTCAACAAAACCCAGAGCAACAGCAAGAGTTGATATCCAACTTCAGGAGGGTGTGGCTGGTCCAAGGAAAGATAGCGGAGATTGAGGCTCTACAAATCAGATGGAAGGACTGGCACAACTCGACGACCCCCCAGAGAAAGACAACTTCCGTTCAGGAAGAACAACAGAACTTCAGGGTGACATAAGACTCTTCAGGCTCAATTCATAGTGTTGTCTCTTTGCGCCTCTAGCTTTATTGCTTCACTGACAGAATCTGCTTGAGGGATCTGAGAGGAAACTCAGAGAAGAGTGAGCTAACAGTCAATCCGCCATGGCAATGGAGCAATCAATGTTGTTCGGGGACTCTGCGGCCAGACGAAAGGGAGAGTGGGTGAGTTGATTGATGTAAGCTGTTTATATTGGAGGAGGGGGGGGAAGCAAAGGAGCGGGTGGTAGGCGGCAAGGTAGCAGACATACAGGCCTCTCATGTACTGTGGAAAGACTGGCACAATTCAGAAGCCGGTCTGAGAAGGCAGAGGTTCCAGCCTGAAGGTGGACAAGAACCACAATGGGCTACGTTAAATCCTGTGGCCAAAGGCGCCGTATAGTCATGTTCTATAATGACGGCTGTCTCCATCGTCTAACCATTTGTTGCATTTACGATAAATACGACAGGCTCAGATAGCTCTGGACCTGAGAGGAAAGGTAGATGCATGGCAAGCTGACAGTCAATCCTCTGCAATGCTCGAGCAATCAACGCTGTTCAGGGGTCTTTCGGCCAGACGGAAGGAAGCGTGAGGGTGTTCTTATTGTAATTTCTGACTTGCCGGTGGAATAGGAACCGGACTGATGCTCCCCAGATGGATATGGAGCCAGGTCCATAAGGACCTGTTTAAAGAAAAAGAAAAAAAAAACTTGTTGAATGCAAAAAGTTCAAAAAATAAATCAGCAAGTGGATAGATCAATGATGACTGATCATGATCTGGTGCTCTTCTGCACTTTCTCCACATGTGCGGCAGTGCTGCGGGATCCAACTCCAAAAAGACATTCTATACATTTGCCACAGCAGTGGCGGACCTTCATTAGAGAAAACAGACTCACAGCACAATACAGTAAGAGACTGTAAGACTTGTCAAATGGACGGATGATTGAGCAAATGGACGGATAACGAGTTGTTCCCGCCGAGCGTGATCCAAAAGTATGACAGTGCTGTGGCTGCTGCCGCATCCATTATTAAGAGTATAGGTGAAACAGTGGTCACCACAATCAGTGGTGTGATGGGTGTGTCTGTTTCTGGGGGCTGCTATGAATCCATCAGCGGATGGGCCTCGCTCCACCACTCATCCCTCTGGATACACTTGGCCTTCTGGACAAGGTGCATCCGGAGTAGTCCAACATTTTGAATGAACCGGGACGATTATGAGCTCCAGATACATGTAGAGTGTTCTGTCGTGGAGCGAGGCGTCATGGTTGCATCAAGAGGAGTCCCGATATCGTCCCCGTCTGTGCTTTTTCTGCATGTACAGCAGTGCTGCAACATCCAATACTAGGACCATTGCTGAAACGCCTGTGACAGCAACAAGTGGTACAATGGGTGCACCTTTCTCAGAGTCTGGCAGATTCTCTGATGATCCTGATTGTGGAGATTTGGTTCCCATCACCTCCGCATTGCCTGCGACAGGTGGAGGTGGGGGGTCCGGCACGAGCTTAACACCATCAGGCCTGACGAACCCCAGCAACCAAGCTATCCGGTCACTCCTCTCCTTCTGTTGGTTTCTTGTTGCTGCCCAAATGTCTTGCAGCGCAGAGAGCTTCCTCTGCACCTCCCGCCACTGCATCAACTTACAAACTGTGCTATAATCCTCGAACGTATCTATATAGTCAACCCATTTATACATCGTAACGAGGGTGTCGTTGTACACATCACCACCTATTGGAGCCCTTGCAATCGTCTGGAACTGCGGTCTAAGCAGAATATCCGTCAAGGTCTCTGGGCAAAAGGTGTTGTTTGTGTCCCGTCCTACATACGACTTGGCATATCTAGAGTTAATCCGCCGGGGGTTGTCCCAGGCAATAAACATGAGTATGCACTCTCCACCACCAATCAAGTTGCTGTACATGTTGAAAACGACATTAGGGTTTATACTAGCTTCAACCCCCAGTTCTATCCCACATCCCGGGCTGTTGAATACAAAATTGTCAGCCCATAGACCACTCATTGCCCTGTGTAGTCGTATGGCGGCCCCCCTCCTGATGTCCATGATGGTATTGTTGACGACTTCGAACCTCGTGGTTGCATTCCCATCCAAATAGATGCCATGGGTCGCCTCGTACCTGCCGTTTTCCAGAGAGCACATTATCGCCAGCTCGTTGCCATACCCTTCAGTGATGTAGTTGTCCCTTACCACCTTCATTCCATTGAAAGCCGCTGTCTTAAATATGTAAACCCCGGCCCCATCACTGGTCGTACGACAGAAGTCGTAGATGATGTTGCCTTGGATAAGATTGTAGCTGAACCAGACTCCGTAACACGCCGACCACCCCACGTTGTAAACCACGTTGCCAATGATGTTGTTGGCGTAGATACCTATGCCTCGCGACCAGCCACAAATGTACCCAACATGATGGACCACATTCCTTCTTGCCATATATGTTGACATCGTGGACTGGGCATCAGTTTGAAGGAACCCATGGATTCCATTACCAATCATCCACCCAATGTCGTTGCCCTCCACCAACATTACACCTCGCGGAACGGGCACGTGCACACCATGCCAGCATTTTTGGATGACGTTCCTCCTGAATGTCACGTTCCACGTTGCGTTGTCATCGTTACGTTCGTAGTACTCGGTTCGCATTCCTGTCTGCGTCTTTTCGACTCGCAGGTTCTCAACAATTATGTTCTGGCTTCCAGCGCGGATTAGCACCCCTTGCTGTGAAAAATCCGTGACCAAGTCGATAACTTTGATGCTAACCCTGTGCTCTGCAATTGGGTACACGTACAGACGTCGTTCCACATTGTCAAAAAACGCTTCGCGTGGAGCATCCAGCAGCTGTAGTGGCCCTTCGAAGTACGCGCCCCCGGAGAAGCACTCTTGCTCTGTGAAGAATGAGGCCCCCTTGTGGTATTTCACATCGCATCGTCCCCAGTCAAATGCCCACCTGCGTATGATTGCCCGTGAACCATTAAGAAACCCATCAGGAAACTTTGCATTCAAATACGACTTTGGCGCACTCATCTCCCATTCTCCATCAACGCTTTTCCCTATGCTCTGGAACCGGCACCAGAACTCACCCGCACTACCTCTTGTTTCCATCGGGTTCACATAGTTTGGAATTCGGGGAGCGTGGTACAGAAGATCATTAATGAAGATACCCCAGTACTGAACATCTTGGCCTCTGGGGATGAATGCGGAAAGATCGGCGACCAAGACATTCTTGTTGGCAGCCCATTTAACCCATCGAACTACCGATCCCGGGATTCGCACCCCAGGGTTGACCAACGGATGTATACCCCTTGGAACATCTTTATTGCAGGTGTAGGAGCTGACAACAACAGGTAGATCAGGCGTACCCCTTCCGTACACCTCTAGCTTCTCATTGAACCAAGCATCACCTCTACAGAGAAGCAAATTGTCACCCGGTCGAAGTGATAACCTAGCCGCCTTGGAAAGGGATTTCCAAGGCGTCGATGATTTCTGAGCCTGCTGCTCGCTCAAGCTATCGTCCCCCATTGTTGATGAGAAGTAGTATGAAGTCTTAGCGCCAAATGCCAAAGTCGCCAGTGTGCTAAGAAGAAACCCAACCAACACTGAGTTTCTTATCAGACTCCACTGCTGATGCATTCCTCCTCCTCCTCCTCCTTCTCCTCCTCCTCCTCCTCCTCCCACAACAGCTGCTGCAGATCCAAATGCCAACCAGCATTGGTGAAAGCACCATGAGGATGAAGAGGAGGAGGACGGGGGGAAAGAGGAGGAGGTCATGGTAGACCACAACGTTCAAACTCACAATGACAAGACAGCTTTCAGGCGCACAAGGGCAGTAACTGGCCCATAAAGGTCAGGGATGGCGCCAAGGAACGCTACTCGGTAGCCACGATGTTGCTGCCATTCAACTGACATCTCAGCTCCGCAAATGACCACTTCTCATTTCTGATGCCGCTCAGCCTAACCGTATGAAGAAATCACTTCAGCCACATCCTCCACTTGCAGCCACAGACACCATTCTAACCATGGAGGCGAGTCCAGTCCGCTCCAACAGTGTTGCCAACACCCATAATTTTGACTGCATTTACAAAGAGGATCACACTCATTATTCTCGTCAAAAGCCAATATCACCAGACCTGCAATGAGCCCAGACGTGATGATACTCGTCCACATTACCAGTCCATATGATTATCGATCTGCTGATGAATGACAAACATTCGCAATGTGTGTGATGATAGAATGAGGTGAGAATCATACACAGACGAAGGAGGAGAGAGGGGGAATAGACAAAGGAGAGAGAAGAAGACAACAGCCCACTTCTGCTTCGGGTTCCTCCTCCTCCTCAACACCTCATCAATCAATAGTCTGAATACAATGTCTGAAGTTCTTCCTCAATGTGCCACGTGGCACGTCAATCTGTCTACATCAGCAACTGGAGAGTATCGTCATCAACCAGGTACGTATCCTCAATAACCACAGTCTTGATCCCCTTCCGAAGTGACGAAGAATCAGAACAGCCTCATCAATCTCGCAGCCCGCCACATCATCAATCATATACAGGTGGCAGCGGCCACATCAGCAACGGCGCGTGGCAGCTGCCACGTCAGCATGCCCAGAAGACCATAGCCAGCCAGCCACGATGCCAGCCAGCAGCGCCGTGCTGTCCTCCTCCTATGCCAGCGTAAAGCCAGCGTCAAGTCAGTGTCGCAATGTCGCAGCGTTGCAGCGTCGCCGCGTCAATGTCAAAGTCAATGCGTGCAGCATTGACACAAGACCGAATGCCCTTCCAGCCAGGAAGCCAACTCTTAAGTAGCGTGGATGCGGGGTCTGGACCCCGGGTGCTGAAGTCCTGCACCGTCCAGATCTCGATGTGAATGAGGGCCCAGATTGGCCAGAAACTGTATTCCTCCCGCCCTGAATGCTGTCTGGGTGCCTGCACACAACAAGTGAATGTATCCGACCATAGGCCTGGGCGCCTTTGACTCTACAGTTGACTTTGACTGTTGAATTTCCTTTGTGCCGCGTTCGGTCACACAGCCTCCTCGACAGACTCAGGCTGGGCATGTCTCGGTCACATAGCCCAGCACAGACAACTGAGTCTGTGTTTTACCGGGGGCAAAGTTCTGAGCCCCGGTCTGCTGCTGAACAGGGTTACTGCATTCCTGCCGACCCAATTTTCGAGTTCCATCGCAGAAACATTTAAGACTTCAACCCACGTTCATAAGCAGAGACGATATCAGGAGCAGATTCAAGGAGTTCTCTTTTACTAAACCATCTGTCCTCAGATGGTGCTTGAGTCTTAAAACATACCTTGAATTGCTTCTGGGGTCGTCCACGTGCACCTGTAGAGAAGAACCCATGTTCTAGAATTCGGTCCACTTCATATCCGCCATCCATATCTGGTGGTATCATAGATGGTCTATGGGGGAATTCATCTCCTTCTACGTAAGGTAGCAACTTGGACGCATGAAAGACATAATAGGTCTTGAGATGAGGGGGTATATCAATTTTGTAAGACGGTCCCTCTGCATCTCCAATCACTTTAAGAACTTCCCAGGGTCCAAAATAGACAGGCAGAAGTTTTTGAGACACATTTTCTTCTAGTGAAAACTCTTTAGACTTGACCCAGACCAGATCACCTTCTTTGAACGTTGATGGTCGTCGATGTTTAATTTGCACATCCTCTGGTACTGACGTGCAGTCGCTTTTCCGTCGCCCCATCCTCTTCGCGGCCAGCCGCCACCTCCCAGTCTCGGGGTACCACCCGAGGCCGCTCCTCGTTTGCTGGTCGTTTTCGTCGCCCGGCACGACCTGGAGCGCCATTCGCTCGGCACCACAGTTCTCTTGAGTATGGAGAGGACGCCTCAGCTGAGCTCGATCCTACCATTGGGGACGCCCCCGAGGACATCGAGCTTCGGGACGTCATCCAGTACAATTTGGATGACGACACTGTCCCAATGGCCGAGCGCCTGCAGATGGCCATGTCTGCCATGGGTCGTGCACGCAGTAGGGTTTCACAGGTTGGCGCCCGCACACCCACAGTTCCTCAGATAGACCTCCCGCAAGGTTTTGTCCCTCCTCACAGAGCTCTATCCCCCGAGGAGCGTACCGCCCTCGAGGCCCGACGCGGCTGCCTTCGTTGCCGCCAGGATGGACACACCTCCTCACAGTGTCCATACCACACCGCCCTCGATCGGTACTACGCTGACATTTCTCGTCAGCGCCGATCTCAGTCCCCCCCCGGCCCCCGCCCGACCAGCCCCACCCAGCTAGCCACGGTGCAGTGTACCCCTGAGGCCTCGCTCGTAGCCGGCTTCCCGACCACCGAGTCGCGGTTTGCCCCTTTGGTTACCCCACCAGAGGATCCTCAAGACATGACAGACGCAGTTCTCTCTGCCCCGTTGTCTGTCGAGGTATCGTCTGCCTCCCAGCAGACCGCCGCATCTAGCGCTTCTCCCCCGAGACTTCCGACGCGTCGCGCCATTCGCACAGCCCGTTGTAGCGCTCAGCTGGCAACTCGCGATGACGTTGTGTCATCTCTCCTGGACTTGAGCATTCTGCAGGCTCGTCAAGAGCGACTCACGAGACACATCAACGTCCTGCGTCGTCTTCTCGCTCTGCTCTCTGACCCTGATCGCACCCTACCCATCATCCCTATTCGCCTAGCGACATCTACGAGGGTGTACCGCGCTTTATGGGGCTCTGGCTTGCAGGGAGATTTCGTTCACCCTCGAGTGGTTGAGGAAGCTCGCCTAGCTACCTCTGGGTCCCGCTCTCCTATCTCCGTTACCCTCGGAGATAACAAGACACAGCGCTTCTTCGATCAGACGGTCCCCGACCTCCACTTCTCCCTCACCCTCCAGCCACCGGATAGTACCTAGTCGCCTCGGCGCTACCATTCCTCCGCATACTTCGATGTGCTGGAGACTGGGTACGACTTTATCCTTGGCACTCCCTGTTCTCGCCGGTTCTGTAGCACAGAGGCCGAATGGGCGACCGAGACACTCGTTCTCAAAACGAAGTGTGGTCAGACCCATCGCGTCCCCTTCATTGGAACCACGGGCGACACTCCTCCCGACCTACCTCCCCGGGACCCTCGTCCCTCAGGGTCTCACCCCGACATTGCCTTCACCTCCCCTTGTCAGTTTGCTCACTTCATACGACAGGAGGACGTCACGTTCTACTCAGTGAACGTCGTGGATTTTCTTCGCTATGATCCACTTTGTCCCGAGGTTGAGCTCATCTCTCTGGAGCCCGATCCCCCTGACCCTTCCTCCATCTTCGCGGCTCCCATCTCTACATCCACCCAGCAGCCTGCGGATACCCCCTCCACGTCCCAGGCCTCTGCGCCGTCGACTGTCGAGTCCATACATACGTCTCGTGTTGACGCCGACGTTGAGGAACTCACACGGTTCACGGCAGACTTAGAGCCCGCCGTTCGCGACCTGATTCTAGAGTACCGCGACATCTTCCCCCCGTATTTCTCATACAGCGGGATTCCCCCGATACGCAGTGTTGAGCATTCTATCCAGCGCGTGCCTGACTATCGTGTTCACCATCAGGCACCGTACCGACTCTCGATTCTAGAGGCGACGAAACTCAAGCGTCAGCTTGAGGAGCTCCTTCGACTGGGTTTCATTAAACCCAGTAACTCCCCTTGGGGTGCACCTGTCCTCTTTGCTCGCAAAGCAGACGGAACTCTCCGCATCTGCATCGACTACCGCGGCCTTAACCGTTACACGGTTAAGAACAGTTATCCCATGCCCCGTGCGGATGAGCTGTTTGACCGTCTGGCAGGCAACCGCTTCTTCACGAAGATCGATCTTCGTAGCGGTTACCACCAGATCCGCGTTGCCACAGAGGATCAACCGAAGACCGCCTTCTGATCGCGCTTTGGCCGCTACGAGTTCACGGTGATGCCATTCGGCCTCACCAATGCACCCGCCACCTTCCAGACGGCGATGAACGACATCTTCAGGGACATCCTTGAAGAATACGTTCTCGTATGCCTGGATGACATCCTAGTCTACCATCTCAGACACCTCCGCGATGTCCTACAGCGCTTACGCAAGCATGGCTTCTATGCCAAGCTCAGTAAGTGCCGCTTTGCCCAGCGCAAAGTGGACTTTCTAGGACACCATGTATCTGACCAGGGTCTCCACATGGACGACGCGAAGATCACTCCCATTGCAGAGTGACCCGTCCCCACATCTGCCAAGCAGCTTCGCAGTCTCCTAGGCCTCACCAGCTACTATAGTAATTTTATCCAGGGATACGCTAGGTATTCCTACGTCCTTACCTCTACCCTCCTCCGGAAGAACCCGCCGTGGTTTTGGACACCCCTGTGCGAGGACGCCTTTCGCGCCCTCAAGAAGGCGGTGACCTGTGCGCCTGTTCTTCCCCTTCCCGATTTTGATTGTCCCTTAGCGTCACCACCGATGCATCAGATTTTGGAGTAGGAGTTGTCCTTTCTCAGGTGTTTCCCTCTCCTCCAGATTCACCTTAACCCCATGTTCCTCTTTCCCCCCCCCTTCCTGCTGACACTGCTTGTCGACCGACGCCTACCCTCCCACCACTTCCCTCCACTGACAGTCCTCCTGTTATTTACTCCCCGACCATCGCGGAGGATGGGACTGTCGAGGCTCGTGTTGGGGATTGCCCGATCGCGTTCTACTCCCGTCAGCTACTGCCTGCCGAGATAAACTACACTGTCGATGAACGTGAGGTTCTCGCAGTAGTTTATGCTACCCGGCATTGGCGTCATTATCTGCACGGGGCGCCCTTCACGGTGCGCACGGACAACTCAGTTGTCCAGGCTTTCCTCACGAAGC